CCACACGGGTCCGCAACAATATAGTATACAAACTTTTTTTATTTTTTTTCAATATTTGAAAATGTTTATTACAAGTACTTATATCTCTATATAGTGGTAAAAAACAAAGAATAACATAATTTTCTCACCACATGTTCTAAAATTTATTTAGACTTGTAAACTATTACATTTTGCCATTTTAAATGGTTGCCATTACGAAATTATCACAATAGAATTTAGTGTTGTCACGTCAAAACAATTTGGGAGACTTAATTACATACTACTTACAAGTACATGAATTTTGTGACAAAGAACAATTACTTAATTGTATACTACACCATTATCGTCTCTTTACATCGTCTCAGATTTCTAAAATGTATAAATAAACCCCAGCACAAAACTCCGCCACCCTAAAATTTTGACTAAGTTTGATGTTTCATAACTTTTTAATTTGTAATTCGATTTTTATAAATTATGATATTATTTTGTAGATAAATTGGTTGGCATTATTTTTTATTATTTTAATGGCTTATATATTTCTGTTAGGTTGGCTTACACCGGGGTAAATCAAAAATTCGTTTTTTGCAATAAATTCAAAACCCACTGTGGGGAAAATGGGACGGGCATTTTGGATAAAAAAGCACTTTCCTGTAATCTTAGATGCATTCCTAACATGCCATTTTTTGAATTATCTTATTATCTCTATTCTTTTAACAAGATAAGCAAACAAAATAAGCAAACAACGGAAAAACCACAATGGTGGTCTGAAAACTTAAAAAAAAATTATAGAAGAAAAAAAGCGATCCTACTAGAAATGGCTTAGTACCCACACCGACCAGGACAGAGAAGAATATGCAAGATTAAATAGAATTGTTAAATGCGAAGTATCTAAAAGCAAAAACAAAATGTGGGAAACCAAATGTGAGAGAGTGGAAAGATACATGGGAGGTACAAGAGTGTCAGAAGCGTGGAAGATAATAAGAAACCTTAGAAGAGACAAAAAGCAAAACAGTAAACTAGAACTTATAAGCACGAAAAAATGGGAAGACCATTACAAACAGTTACTGACAGAAAACAGGACAGAATTCAAACTAGAAGTGCCAGATTTGAAAAACGCCAAAAAATATAGATGTAAATAAAATAACTGTAAACGAGATAAAGAAAGCATTGAAGAACTCAAAAAATCGAAAAGCTGCGGGGCCGGGAAACATTTTCATTGAGATAATAAAGCAGGGACACGATATATTATTGGAAATACTAGCCAACTGAACCAGTTGGCTCTGACTCGGTTGGCTAGATTTTGCCACGCCCACTCGGTGCCCACTGGACGAGTATATAAATGCTCAACTTGTAGATTGTACTTTAGTTTATAATCATCTGCTGATGATGCTAACATGGTTAGCGAAACGCGCGTCCAGTGTTAAAGTAAAGGTGTTTTGGTGTATTGTGGTGATTTGGTATTTTTATTTTGCTGTGTAACACCAAAGGTTCCAACCCTCAACTGTAATATTTTTTATGAAATGAATTTTGTTCCTATTAAAATAAACATAACTTACTAAATCACTAGCTAGTCATTTTTAAATACAGGATGTTAATTAAGTATCTGGCCAAACTTCAGGAGGTGATTCTTTGAGTGTTTTTAAGGTAAAAAGTTCATAAAAACATGTGTCCGGAAATGTATAATTTTAAAGATACAGGGGTGTCAAGGTGTTTTCTAATAGACCTTTTTTATTAATATCTCAAAGATCCGTTAGCCGATTTTGTTGAAATTTCGCCGTGTTGTGAAATTTAATAAGTTAGTACTAATTAAATGATAATTATTATTTACAACAATATTTAAACGATAAAAACTTATCCCAATAAATATTTGGCACCGCCTTGAATTCATTTGCTTTACGTTGGCGGTGGAAACCATGCAAGCTTTTTCTTTGTCCTAAGTTGTTAATTAAAAAATACTTATCATATAAAAAAATATAGGTCTTAATAGCCTAAATTTTATCAAAATATATCAGCAGATCCGATGAGTCCCGAATTATTATATGTTTTGGAACTTAATGATTTAATTAATTATTCCCTTTAATGCATCGATTGTGCGCATTATCCTACGCGCCAAGAAAAAATATTGCATTAGTCTAAATTTATTATTTATGTTATTCCGCTCTTTCACGTATAATTTGCCCCCTGCTTCTCATACGGAAAGAGTTAGATTAAAATAGCCCAACTGTACCTAACAACCTATGCCTTGACGCATATTCTTTTTATAATAATATCGGCTTTCCCAGACTAAACATCCATATCCATAAAATAGTTGGCCCACACTAATAAGACCTCATTTCGGCCCTCGGACGTCCTTGCTCTATTCAGCTATCGACTTACGTGTTGACAAGTTGATTAGGCAGGTTATTGAACTCCATGTCGCCTCTAACATGTCGTTTTTTCAAAGATGGGTCCCATATAAACGCGGCCAGAAGTATTTTCAATACTAAAACCAGACTATAGTCTGTTCAACGAGAAGATCCTTGACAGTGATAGATGTGTCTGTCATTTTAATTTCAAAGTAGTTTATTTTATTTTACAAAGAAATAAGTTGGTACAACTGGAACGCATAGCAGGAAATATTTAAAATTTGATTGACAAGATGACAAGTGATTACTTCAAAATATTGTGAAAAAACTGTATAAAACTGAAAAAATGTAATCGAGTTATTTTATTTAATAAAAACGGTATGTGTTAATACAAAACAAACAAGAACAAGACACTACATACCAAAAAAATATAAAAAAGAACTATTATTTACTTTCAAGCTTTATGAAACTACCCGCATTTATGATTATATTTATCAATATAACTTGTACAAATACAAATTACTTATGTATAAATACAAATTTGTAATATTCCACAGGAATAAATAAAACAACATAGGTAAATAAAACAAACTATTTTATTAATAATAACACCTACCAAATTTTATACCTTAAAGGTTGATTAATTAACTTTAATCTTAATTTTTTTAAACCAGTACCTTTTGACATTATTGTTCTGCAGTACTAAAATCCATTATTTACCTATCGTGTGATGTCGATATTTTACAGCTACTCCAGTTTTTAGTATGTGTTTTATTTGATCCTTCTACCATATACGAGATGCACTTATCTACGACGAAATGGTATACAAACTTTATCGATGGCAACTTCATTGGTGTATAAGACTTTCTGCCTGGGCAGCGAATATTAACCATAAACTGTGCTCTGGGTCTACAGTTAATTTTCACTCGATTTTTCCTCCACTTGACTTCAAAAGACACAAAACATACGTAATAACACGAATCAAAATGCATCATCTTCCAAAAGGCAGGGTATTTAACAAAAGTTGACACAAAATTATAACCTATAATTTGGCAAGAATTTGACAAGCGTCAAAAATGACAAAAATCTAAAGGTGAGTTCATACGCATCGGCGTCCGTTTGTCGTTCATCGTTCCATCAAACCAATAAAATTGAAATACGATCTGTCATTTTTTAAATAAACCAATAAAACTGGTTAAAAACAACAAGACACGACGCATGACGGATCTATATTTAAACCCATCCATAGATAACTTAAAAATTATTAGAAACTTTTTTTAGTAAAATAAATAGATTGGTATGGGACGTCATCTGCTTTTCTTCTGTCATCGTCTGTCGAAATCTTACCTGAGAAAAAAAACAGAGTATAGATAAAATCAGGAGCATTTAGCACCTATTAATTGGTGAATGCACACTGCTAATCACTAATAGAATCATATCAATTCTTTCTGATGTAGGATAAGTTTGCATTTTCGGCAAATTTCTGAGAATTTTTTTTTAACTGACACAAAATGATAACTAGTTGTTAAAGTTGGACTAAGATAGTTATGCTGAAGTAACGTCAGACATATCACAGCCACCTAGATTTTATCAAATAATAAAGATCTACTGAGATCAAATCATGTAAATTAAAATATCTAAGAAAATCTTTGTTTGAGAGATAGGCAGCCTTAATAGTATTTTGAAGAGACATGAATTCTCCATTGAATATTGGAATAATATACTGGGTGTTTTATTTAAAATAAAAGAGTAACATGCTTTTAAAGGTAAATGTTCATATTTTTTTTTTCATGTCAATGTTCAATATTAATTTTGTCTCACCCTGTATAACTTTTTGGATCAAGTTTTAATTTGATATAAAGTTTAATAGTTATAAATTTACGTACATTTTTTTGTAATTTAAAAATTGTTACATTTTAGTCATATACTTCTCTAATAAAACTCAACTTTATTTTTCTCCGAAAATCAACTAATATATAGGGTGTTCCATTACAAAAAACACAACTTTGATATGTAACTTTTTTGGGAACACCCTGTAGAACTCTCTATATTTTTAAAAGGTGCTCTGAATTAACCTACATATGGTCACAAAATTTCATTTCAATACAAAGGGTCGTTCTCCTTGGAGCCTCAGCGGCGTATGAGAGGCGTCACCCTGTATTTTGATCTAATGGGCCGATTTTGATAATTTTTTAAGCAATTTGTAGCTAAATTATTTGACCTTTGTCAGTATCTCTTTCTAAATTAATCATGAAAGTTTTCATCTGTCAATTATACGAGGGCAAACAAAATGATGATATTTTGGTAAAAGTTTAAAACATCCTGTGGAACATGTTAACAAGGCAAGGATTTTAGAAATCATTTTATCATCTACGTACGTCTTTTCTCGATAGTTCGTTTTTGGAATCAATGCAATAACTTTTTGAAAAGAAAAACCTTGAGGTATCTCGACCCTAAAACATTCAGCTTTATATCAAATATAAATCACACACTAATTTTAACAAACTGTTTGTGAAACCCTGTACCATCAGGGTATTCATTATTCTGAAGAGACCAATATTTTCTTGCTACATCGAATGTTACATGAAAAAACGTTACGCAAAAAACATCTGCTTACGTGAATTGGTTTCTAAAGCTGTAGAATGTTGATTTTTTTCACTTGATACCTACCGCAAAAAGAAACCACAGGTTGCTTTACTTTTACCAAATTAACCCGATACGCCAATGAAGTAGTTTTACTTATAATTTGTTTTAAATGTGCATGTAGTGATAAGTGCTATCATATCTTTGATGTAGAACAATAATTAGTGTTGTTGCATTCTTTTCTAGTTTATTGCATAATGTTCAGTGCCAAAGGTTCCTCACTATCGATACTGATATTAAGTTTAGCTTCGTACATTACTGTCAATCATTTATTCGCGCCTAGGGTACATAAAATAAATGAAAATGTTTGGTGGGGGGTGGGTCCAGAACAGAATAACGATACGGAAATTAGGGAGTTTAATATTAACGTGCCAGAAGAGGTAAGTCAATTATTATAAGGTTCTATACATACAGGGTGATGTAAAAAAAAGAAATTTATTATTGTTTATTTACAAAAAAAATTGCGTGTGCACTATGTGCGCATATTTGAAGTGAAACTTCTTACTAACTGCCTTGTATATATACCGGGTGTGTCTCAAAAGTGGCTCACCCCTATAACTTTTTTATTTTTTGAGATAAAAAATCGAGATTTGGTATATAATAATATATGACATAAATTAGGATTGATTGACGTATTCAGTTGTTTTCTGAGACTTCCTGTTTCACCGGAAATGACTACAACTTTTGATTTTTAAATGGCACCCTCGGTATTTTATTACTTTATTCGATAGAAAATGAGACTCTGAATAGAATGACATATCATATGTCAACATTTGACATTTTCGAAATGGATTATTTGAAATTGCAACATGCTATTCATAACGACAATTTGACTCGAAATACCAAGTGTGTGGTACCAAATTATTCGTCAAAAAATGCTTTTTCTAAATATGGTAATGAGCCACCCTCGTTCCATTTGAAAAAAATTAGATATGACTAAAAATACGATTTGAGCAACTTTTAACCGGCCAGGACAAGGCACTACATATTAGACGATCAAATCTATTTTTCCAAGGCTCCTTGATTAAAAATTAGTGTTTTTAACACAGTCATGGTACTCTAGATTGAAATTTGAAATTCAAATTTGCTTTAAGCAAAAATGTCAAAAGTTGACATATGATATGTCATCCTATTTAGAATGTCATTTTCTATCGAATAAAGCAAAAAAATACCGAGGGTGCCATTTAAAAATCAAAAGTTGTAGTCATTTCCGATGAAACAGGAAGTGACAGAAAACAACTGAATAGGTCAATCAATCCTAATTTATATCATATACTAACATACCAAAAGCCATTTTTTTATCTGAAAAAATAAAAAAGCTATAGGGGTGAGCCACTTTTGAGACGCACCCGGTATAAACAAGGCCAATAGCTATTAAATTGAAGGATTTGAAGGATATATATTTTTTTATGAATAAGATTACAGTTGGGGGTTGGAACCTTTACTGTTACACAGCAAAATAAAACACTAAATCACCACAACACATCAAAACACTTTTTCATTCACATACAGGGTGGCAATTTGAAAACGAACAGTATTTAATATTACCTCTACCGATGATAGGATGAAAATTTGGCGAAATACGACAATTTACATATCAAGGGGGACACTTTTTGGGGCATTTGTTGTCGTGTTACTTTCAACCCTTTGACCCCCAGGGCACCTATCTCTAAACTTTTACATGGCAATCCCTATTTCTTTTACAAAATGCAGTTTATGTAGAATTCTACAAGAAACTCAAAAATGCTAACACAATTTTTAATAAAAGTGCGTCGGAAAAATAGATTTAACCGTCTAATACTCTTTGTTGTCTTGTCGTGACCGGTTGTTGACCAAATTGTATTTTTAATCATAACTAATTTTTTTTCAAATGGAACGAGGGTGGCTCATTATAGTGTATTTGGAATACGAATAATTTGGTACCTTAGATTAAGAATAAAAATTTGGTACCACACGCTTGGTATTTCAAGTAAAATTGTTGTTACATTTATGGTCATGGTACCCTAAATTGAAATTTAAAATGCTATTTTTTTAATTTAAAATGTCGACTATGATATGCCATTCTATTGTCATTCATCAGAATGTCATTTTCAATCATAGGAAGTAAAAAAATAACGAGTGTCATTTAAAAATCAAAAGTTTTAGTCACTTCCGGTGAAATAGGAAATAACCCAAAACAATTGAATGCGTCAATTAGTCCCAATTTATGTCATATAGTAACATACCAAATCTAGTTTTTTTTTTATCTGAAAAACAAAAAAGTTATAAAGGTGAGTCACTTTTGAGACACAACCAGTTAATATCTATAAGTCGCTGATATAAAGTTTTATCAATTTACAAATAAGCTATACTAAGCATGCGTGACGCGAGCAGACAATTGCGGAAGTTGGCGGAGTAATAAACCTAATTTTTTTAAAAGTTAATTTTCTTTATAATTTCTTCCTTCATTTTTTTCGATATTTTAATAATCATTCTACTATTCGGGAAGCAGACAAATCCAACAAATTAGAGATCATTAAAAACCGTTCTCATATTTTGTATCCAAAAATGCGTTATAGTTCTATGTCCACAGAATATTTGGACACCGTATATAGTCCCTATAGGCTATACCATGCTATACAGGGTGGCGCCTCTCATACGCCGCGGAAGTTCCAAGGAGAACGGTAGTTTATATCGAAATGAAATTTAGGCAGCATATGTAGGTTAACTGAGAGAATTTTACAAAAATATATATTATACAGTGTGTCCCAAAAAAAGTTACACATCAAAGTTGTGTTTTTTCTAATGGAACACCCTATATATTAATTGATTTTCGGATTCTAGGGAAAAAATAAAGGTGAGTTTTATTAAAGAAGCATATACCCACAGATAACTATGTGTTATCTGTGATATACCTTAAATCTAAGGTTTTTGATATATTTCATATTTTGTGAAAATAAAGAGTAAATTTTAAATTTCGATAATAGCTACCTAAATTTTAGTTGGCCTTGTATAGCCTGAGATTTAATTACAGTAACCATTGTATGTTAAACCAAATTGAAATTTGACCCGAAAAGTTATACAGGGTGTGACAAAACTAATATGGAACATTAGTCACTTTTAAAAGCAAATTACTCCTTTATTTTAAACGGAACACCCAGTATATTTTTCCGGTATTCAATGGGGAATTTATATATCTTCAAAATATTATTAAGGTTGCCTACCCCTCAGACAAATATTTTCCCAGATATTTTAATTTTTATGATTTTGCGTCAGTAAATCTTTATTATTTGAAAAAATCTAGGTGGCTGCGTGATATACCTTTTGTTAATTTAAACAAAAATGAAAGATTGTAGAGTAAAATACTCAAGGGTAATAAAAAGATATCCGTTTAAAACATATTTTAATTATTACAGAATTAAAACTACATGTAAACCTATAATTATGCGACAAAAATTAGCTAGATGAAATCAAATGCTCAATATGCTTCCTTTCCTGTTAACTGCAGAAAATGATTGTCTTTTCAAAAGGATCTTTTCATTTTAAAGGGCATATGTGGAGTTCTACCTCGAAAAGCAGCTCCAATCATTTCTCTCATATTGTCGACAATAGTTGGTCGAGTTTTATAAACACTGTCTTTAACATATCCCCATAAAAAACAGACTAAATAAAATCAGGGGCATTTAAGTATTCTATTAATTAATTGTTGGTGAATGCAGTGTGCATTCACCAACTAATAGAATCATATCAATTCTTTCTGATATAGGACAAGTTTGCATTTTCGGAAATTTTTGAGAATTTTTTTTTGTTTTAACTGACACAAAATGATAACTAGTTGTTAAAGTTGGACTAATTTGACAGCTATGTTGAAGTAACGTCAGACATAATCACCAGTCACTTAGATTTTATTAAATAATAAAGATCTACTCAGATCAAATCATGTAAATGAAAATATCTAGGAAAATCTTTGTTTGAGGGGTAGGCAACCTTAATAGTATTTTGAAGAGACATGAATTCTCCATTGAATATCGGAATAATATACTGGGTGTTCCATTTAAAAGTTAATTTAACGATATATAAGACTATACGGAGTAAATTCTAATTTAGGTAGCTTTTATGGTAATTTAAAACTTGTTCTTTATTTCTAGAAAATGTTAAAAATATCAAAAACCTTACATTTTAGTCATATACTTCTCTTATAAAACTCACCTTTATTTTTCTCCTAGAATCCAAAAATCCATTAATATATGGGGTGTTCCATTTCAAAAAAAAACTTTTTTTGGGGACATCCTGTAGAAGTCTCTATATTTTTAAAAATTGCTCTGAATTAACTTACATATGCTCACAAAATTTCATTTCAATACAAACTGTCGTTCTCCTTGGAGCCTCCGCGGCCTATGAGGGACGCCACCCTGTACAATAGGTAAGACCATTTGAAAACCCTGTTTTTCCGTTTCAATAATTAACTCAATTTCTCATTAAAAAAAAACTTTCACTGTTATTTAACACATAAAGACTTGACTAATTTAAAACCTGTAGTTTAAAATATAAGATTAAAATTTTGTAATTAATTATGTAAAAATATCTATCATTAAAATTTAAAAAAATAGTGCTCGTTTTTGAAACTATAAAAAATATTTTATAAAAGATAAATTTAAATTTACAAACTAGAATGGTAATGACAACGAAAATTATTTTATAAATATACAGGGTGACTCAAATTTTCTCATTCCATAAATATTACAAAATAATCCATACAGCGGATGTGCACTTATTTACCTGTATATGCTATAATCAAAATATGATTCCAGCAAATCAAATTTAGGTTAGTTAGTGCAAACTCTTTTTAAAAAAAGTCGATAATCTAAATTTGATTTTAAATCTACAGGGCTATCTAAACCAAATAGTATAAGAAAACGCCAAATAGAAAAAAATAATGCAAAAAACAATGTTTTAGAAAATCAAGCACTGTTTAATTCTTTCTCATTTAAAGTAGCTGATGTCAGAACTTTGGTAAAAGCACAGATACCATAGAATATTATCTATGGTTAAAGTATGTAAATAATAGATACTAAAATAAGATTAGAATATTGCAAGCAGTAATTATACAGGGTGTTGCCTATATAATCTAAAAAAGTGCGTGATTCCTCATATGTTTTTAAGACAAAAAGTTTAAACATGAGGTATAAAGTACTTCCATTTGGATCTACAGGGTGCTAAAAATTTAGAAAAATAGATTAATTTCTTGTTTAAAATATGTATATCACTGATTTAAAAAAAACATATACCGGGTGCGTCTCAAAAGCGGCTCACCTCTATAACTTTTTTATTTTTTTAGACATAAATTAGGATTGACTAACGTATTCAATTATTGTTTTCGCTCACTTCCTGTTTCACTGGATATGACTACAACTTTTGAGTTTTAAATGACACTATCGGTATTTTGTTACTTTATTCGATAGAAAATAACACTATGAATAGAATGACATACGTCAGATTTTAACATTTTTGAATATGGTTTATTTTAAATTGCAATATGCGATTCATAACGATAATATGACTCCAAATACCAAGTGTGTGGTACTAAATTATTCGTAAAAAATGCCAATATGCTCCAAATATGCTAATGAGCCACCCATTTGAAAAAATGAAATATGATTAAAACAACGATTTGGGCAAATCTCAACCGGCCAGGACACTAACAAGATTTAGACGATGACATCTATTTTTTTTTTCAAGGCTCTTTGATTAAAAATGAGTATTTTTAATAATGCTTTTACACTACTTAGGAAACACCCTGTATATTCCATTTTATTTCAGGTAATCACGGACTTGAAATGGCGGCTAAAACACCATCGACCTTTTCGTCCTTCGATAGGCACGGCGAATCAGTACGGCACCAACTCGATATTCCTAGACGAATTTATCGACCACTGGGAAAATCACTACAACTGGACAGAAAGAGAAATCTTTCTGAATAAATATCCGCAGTTTAAAACGCGAATTCAAGGCCTAGACATACATTTCATTCACATTAAGCCCGATACGGACGAAAATAAGAAAGTGTTACCGATGCTGATGGTACACGGCTGGCCTGGGTCGGTCAGAGAATTCTACGACGTCGTCGACATATTGACCAATAACATCAATAGGAATTATACTTTGGAACTGGTCATTCCTAGTCTGCCTGGATTTGGATTTTCTGAAGCTACAACTAAGCCGGGGTTGAGTCTGGCTCACACGGCTGTGTTGTTTAAAAAGTTAATGAACAGATTGGGTCATGAAAAATTCTATCTTCAAGGTAATCTATACTAATACTGTGCTAATACATATATAAAATTCTCAAGTGACTGACATACTGATTAATCACGATCCTGCTCAAACCACTCAACGTACGAAGCTCAATTTTTGCATACAGGTTGATTCTAGGGTGTAGAGGTTCGATAAGAAAGGGATTTTTCGAAATTCCAGTTCCAAGAGGGTGAAACCACCCCTCAAATATTACAATATTTTTTATTTAAAAAACGGTCAAGTTTCCGAGCAAACGCTTAAACACGTATATTTTATTTTGTTTTTTACATATTTTAAGATTTTTATAAATGTATACAGGGTGTTTCGAAAAATCTGATCATTGATTAATCACGATCCTGCTTAAAGCGCTTGACGTAAAAAGCTGATTTTTGCAAAACAGATTGACTTTAGGGTGTAGAGATTCGATAAGAAGGGATTTTTCGAAACTCGAATTCTAAGGGGGTGAAACTATCCCTCAAATATTAAAATATTTTTATTTACAAACCGGTGAGTTTTTCGGAAAAACCTCTTAAACACGTATATTTTAGTTTGTTGTTTTACATATTTTAAAAATTTTTATATATTTATACAGGGTGTTTCATAAAATATGACCATTGAGTAATCACCGAGGTAATCACGATTTTGCTTAAACTGCTTGACGTTTAAAGCTGATTTTTGGCCAACGGATTGACTGTGGGGTTCGATAAGGAGGGGTTTCTCGAATCTCAAATTCCAAGAGGGTGAAAATGCTCCTCAAATATTACAATATTTGTTATTTAAAAAACGGTTAGTCTTTCGGGAAAACGCTTGGACAAGCATAATTTATTTGGTTTTTTTACATATTTTGATATTTTTTAAAAAATCATACCGGGTGTTCCTAAAAGTTGGGTAATTTCTTAACCACGATTCTGCTTAAACTGCTTGACGTAAAAAGCTTATTTTTGGCAAACGGATTTTTGGAAAGTCAAATTCCAACGAGATGAAACTACCCCTTAAATATTACCAAGTTATATAATAATATCGCCAAATTGTTTTTTCTCATGCTGACATAAATGTGAGAAAATTTTATCCAGTTTGTATGTTAATGGAAATTCTTGCTTTGCTTCTCTTGATTTTATCATCACCATTACAAATGATTAATTCAACGCGAACGAAGTCGCTGGTACACGCTATTTTACTTATATACAAACAATTGAGACTAATATACAAATCAATGAATTTCAATAAAAATTAAATTACTATTTTAAATATGAAAAAAATAAACATTCTAATGATTCCAAATGAGTATTATTACATACTTATTAGGGAAGTGTTTCATTACTGTCAAAAGATTAACTAAATCTGCAAACAGTAATGCAAGTTCCGAAGTTTGAATACTATTTAATTATATAGGGTGATGACAATTCCGATGTTCAACATTGGCATCTCAGAAACTACGAGAGATACGAATTCGGTTAAATGGGACAAAAGTTGCCTAATTAGATGTCACCTATGAAGAAAACCCCGGTATCTTGATTAGTTTCGGATTTATGTCAAAAAAATGAAAAGAATACGTTTATTTTAAATGGCAATATCTTTAGAACTATTGTATCTATTGCAACGTAAGTTGGTAGTTTTATATTTTTGACCTTGGCCAATTAAATGCCGTTTACAGAAAATCTCTAAGCCTTCTGGATTTTGCACAACAGTCAAGTTTTTGTTTTCTTATATTATACTATATTATTTTTATACTATTAGATAGAGCAAAAAATAATCTATACGGTGGTATCTAATTTTTATTCATTATTATGTAAATTCACTAAAAAAATATATTTTTTTAAAAATTCGCTCAAAAGATCAAGTCTGTCTTGGAAATCCAATTGACACTTTATATTACAACAAGTTAATTTTTGTTTACTCTATTAAGTGTCAAATCTGGACACAAAAATTTATAGTAGATAGTGTAAAGTGTATTAACACTCAACAATATGTTCACAAGTGAGGAAACACGAGATATATATGATGTTTACTTAAAAATAATAGAAATTCTACTTTAATTTTAAATGATCTAAATTCTATAATAGAAATTAACTTTAAATTTAAATGTGTACATAATTTACAGTTTTTTTACATGCTGGTGATCACGAGAGAAGATTACAATTTTGCAAATGGTTTCGGAAAAGTGTTCAAGAGAGCCCTTTTTTTTCTACAAAAATATTATGGACTGATGAATCTTTATTTACAAATTCTGGTACATTTAACAAAAAAAACACATTATTATGCAAAAGAAATTTCTCATTTAATTAGAGAAACCAGACCACAAATAAGATATTCTTTGAACGTCTGGGCTGGCATTATTGACAATAAAATTTTAGGCTCTGTATTGACCTGTATTGAACTCTACTACACAACTTTTATGCATCCAGGTTTGACACTTTTCCAAGGCAGACTTGATCTTCGGCGAATTTAAAAAAAATCTATTTTTTTGGTGAAATTACATAATAATGAATAAAAATTAGATACCACCGTATAAACTTTTTTTCGCTCTATCTAACAGTATAAAAATTCAAAATGGCGGCCATAAAAAACAAAAAATTTCAGTCAAATAACTATCTATTCAAAATACTGGTTGCGTCTCAAAAGTGGCTCAGCCCTATAACTTTTTGATTTTTCAAATAAAAAAAAAAACGAGATTTGGTATGTTAGTATATGACGTATTGACCACAAACAATTGAATACGTCAATCAATCCTAATTTATGTCATATACGAACATACCAATTAAGTTATAGAGGTGAGTCACTTTTGGGACGGACCCGGTATAGTCGTTAGGGGTTTACAAGGAAGATAATTTGTGATTTTTAATGACTTAATTTTCTGCTGCAAACAATGTATTTATCAATAAGTCAATGCTCTAATAATTAATAAATAAGTGCTCTTATAGAACAGAATAATAACAGAGCCATATTTAAAAGAATTATATATTTATGTTATTCATGACATTGTCACAGCCACAATAAATAAAAAATCATGGAAAGAAGTCTAATACCAAAGTATATTTTAGTGAGTAAACCAATGCTTTAGAGACGAAATCAATGCCATGAGACTCAAACATGTCATTTTTAACGGTTTTGTTTGACGTTTTACTTTTTGAATTTAAAATAATTTGAATTTGATTTGATTTTTTCGAACTTTTTGGGGTTTTCTGACAGTTCTTATTTGCAAAATATTCATGATACAAATCGGTAAAATTGCAAATTCTTAAAACTTACTATAACACCACATATGCAGATTTTGGCCTCCCAAAAGGTTTCTCAGTTCATTCAAAACCTCGAAACTAGTGGAATAAATTAGTGGTTTTAATTAGCTTAGAAGTTTGTTCCTCAAATTTCAATGTAAGCATTCGGAACGTCATAATTAGTGATAGTAATTTTCAATTAGTAGAATAAAGGTTCATTCAGAACCTCTTAATTCGTGGAATAAATTAGTGGTTTCAAGTAGCGTAAAAGTTTGTTCCTTTAATTTCAATGCATTCAGAACGTCATAATTAGTGGTAGACATTTTCATTTAGTAGAAAAAGTTATCAAACTTTTAACTTTTCCACTAATTATAATACTTCAAAATCTGCGAGAAATGTCATTTGATTATCTTTCATCAAGAGAAAAAATGGTTAGAAATCAAAAGTTGATTATTTTATAAGCTAAATATTTGGAAAAAATGTCTACACCTCTGTGGCGGATTCATCTCTCCAAAAAATCCTATGGGTATTTTGTCACTGGAAGAAAAACTACAAAATAAAATAGTTATTTTTTTATTTAAATATTAGGCTTTCTCTATGGGTACATCTGACTAAAAATGCAAACTGTTGCTAGAATATTCTATTAATTTTAATTGTTTTTTTAAACATTGTGAATGATAGTAAACTAAAGCTTCATTCAGAACATCGCAATTAGTGGAATAAATTAATGGTTTCGATTAGCGTAGAAGTTTGTTCATTTACTTTCAATAAAAACTTTCAGAACATCAAAATTAGTGGTGGACATTTTCAATTAGTAGAAAAAGTTATCAAACTTTTCCACTAATTATACCTCAATAATTGCGAGAAATGTCATTTTGGCCTTTGATTATTCTCCGTCAAGAGAAATTGTGGTTAAATCAAAAGTTGATTGTTTATAATAATAATAATAGCTCCCGTATATAGCGTTTAACGCCTTAGGAGTAGGCAAGGTACAGCTTGCCATGCTAGAGCCGTTCGGTATACAAGGAAGGTAATGTAGGTAGCTTTACGCTTCAACCGCCTATTATTACATCAGGATTGTGAATCCCAAAGGAAGTTATCAAAATTGCTGCTATGCAAGACCCTCAGAGAATCACTGAGATCCTGAACAAGTGTCTTATCAACAGACAGTTTCCAAATTCGTGGAAAATTGCCAAACTTGTTCTAGCAGAAAAACCCAATAAAGATGGAAGTCAAGACAAAAAATATCGTCCAATATGTTTAATTAATGCAAGCGCCAAACTGTTAGAATGTCTTCTGAGGGATAGACTGATTTTCAAATAGAATATTGTAGACTATAATGGTCTACTGGCACCGGCCGGCAGCCTGAAGGTCTTCACTATACATTGCAGTCATTGCTACCTTGTGGAAATTCTCAATGCTTGAACTGCATAGTCCAAACCTTGAGGAAAAATTGCATGTGTGTGGATACCATTACAAAACATTTTATCAGTTATTTGTAAATGTAAAATTTGTTTTGTCTGCTCATTTTGCATATAATTCCTGATAAATAAATATAATTTTATTTCAGGTGGCGATTTGGGAGGAATAACGCTTCAAATTCTCAGTGCGCTTTATCCGGAGTCGGTGCTAGGATATCACACCAATTTCCCCGTAGTATACACTTTGAAAAGTTATATTAAACCGATTTTAGGAGTGTTATACCCATCCTGGATTGTAAAGCCCGAACACTACGAGAGGGTTTACCCTCTTAAAGATCGTGGTTTGTTTATATTCCGTGAAAGTGGATATTTTCATTTGCAAAGTACAAAACCAGATTCACTAGGTATGTAATTAGTTGTAATTGAAGGGTCCAGAGGAATAAGCTAACTTGATAAGCGCCAATTTCCTAATTTTAGGATTTTACAATATTATAGTAAGTCTAATTGGTTCCTACAAAATGTATAAACTCTGCAGGGCAATAAGTTGCTAAATTCTATGATATATGCCTAGAAAAAAATATAGAATACACGGAAAGAACCTGATAACCACCAGCCGTCCAGTGCTCTCCTGTAAAATTAGCAAAATGGCGCTTGTCATGTGTTTCCCCCGGACCCTTCAATTGTTCTAATAAATTATAACAATAGGATAGATAAAACTTTCTTATATGTTCTTTATAAATAAGTTACTAGTTTCAAAATATACCGTATGATAGAAAAAAAAAACGGCGTTTAGTTGGCTGGGAAATGACGATCAATGACATTTCTCATATAAATTTACATATAAAATGATCTTCATTTCATAGCCATCGCTGACGCCGTTTTTTTCTATCATACGGTATTATATACCATACAATCGAAAAAAACGGCGTCAAAAACGGGTAGGGAATGAAAATCAGTGATAATTTTGGCAAGGTCAAGATCTAGACATTATTTACTTCGAGAAAACAATTTTTGGAAAGAGATTTATGTATCGGGAAATGGGGTTCTATTGTTTTTTAATTTTTCTATAATTAGTGTTAATCTTGGAAAAGTTTTATGTCAGAATTTTTAGTAAATAGCGTCTAGCGATTGACCTCGCCAGAATTATTATCGATTGTCATTCCCCAGCCTTTTTTGACTGTATTTCTTTCGATCATACGGTATAAACACATAACATTTTATAGAAACTGTTCATTAAAAGTATTTTTAATTTGTACATACAATTTAAAATTTCATTTAGACATAAAACCGAATAATTTACATTAAGGATACTTCCAGGTGTGCATTCGATTTAAAGATACTCCCCTAAATTTCAGGTTATATAGGAAGTGGCTGCCATTTGTCTATTTTAAATAAGATATATGTATATTTTGTGCGTTTTGGATCCTACATAAATGTCTAAACTTATTTTGTGTCTGATGTTCTTTAGAGTCCATTTCACTAGTCCGAAAAAGTAGCAAAAGCGTTCGGCATTTAACTTTTTATGTAAAACTGACTAGATAGTTTTACACAAATGAAGAAGGAAATTAAAGATAAAAGATTATACTATATCCGCATTGTAGCACACCTTTAGACAACTTCTTCATTTTTAAGATTTTGATGGTCAAACATCAACAAAATATTCCTTAGGTTTGGACTAAATTTTCTCGAAAATAAAGACATGATCCAAGATTCTGTTATAATACGAAAATAGATTGAAGTTTTGTAATAATTACACTAATATATAATTTATATGGTTTTGTAACAAATTTGCTATTTTATGGCAAATGCTGAGGCTCTGCAAACCTTAATCAGGCCTTAATCAAAGCACGTGTATTTGGAATTTTGGGCGTGGCCAAAGAATATTATAATTTAAGGTATTAAGATATTCTTTGGCGTGGCTTAACACGACAGGATCGGGCTAAACCTTAGGCAGATTTCTGAAATATAATATACAGGGTGGTCCGAAATGTACTCCGGAAACTTGGGCAGCATATTCTGCAGATAAAAATAAGTAAAAAAGTTCGTATAAATGTATGTCCTAAAATGCTTAGTTTCGGAGATACAGGGTGTAGAAGTTTCATTTTTATTTTGATTTTTTCCAAATAATTTATGAAGTAACGTCAATATTTGGATGAAAATTGAGGTCTGGGGGTTTTGTGACACGATAAATTTGATTTTGATGTCAAAATGACTCCTATTTGTAGAGGGCGCCACCTACATGTGTTTTAACTGTTTTGAAGAGTAATAACTTTTTGTTCGTACGTGTATAAAACTACTGACTATAAAAAATATACATTTCCATAACTTTCTACGTAAAAAATGTCTCTTGGTAAAAATCGCTACGAGCAACCTTTCTCAAGATATTTAAAATGGAAATAGTTAATATATGTCATTATTGACAAAAAATAAGCACACGGTGAGTATAGTTATTTCATTGTAATAATAAATTTTTATTTTTTTCTTAATTAATCATAAATTTTTCTGCAAAAAAAATGATGATTAAACAGTTTCTGTTAAACTTTTGGCACAAAAAGTTTCAAATTTATGATTTCGGTCTAATAACTATTTAGTCAATATATTTAATTTATGTCAATGATGACAGATATTGATAATTTTGATTCCAAATATCTCAAGAACCATTACTCGTAGCAATTTTTACCAAAAGACCTTTTTTATGTAAAAAAAGTCGTAAATGTATATTTTTTTACTCAGTAGTTTTATACAGGTATGGACGAAAAGTTATTACTCTTCAAACCAGTTATAAAATATGTAGGTGGCGCCCTCTACAAGTAGGAGTCATAATGACATGAAAATCAAATTTCTCATATCAAAAAACTCCTAGACACCAATTTTATCCAAATATTGACGTTACTTCATAAAGTATTTGGAAAAAATCGAAATAAAAATGAAACTTCTACACCCGGTATCTCCGAAACTAAGCATTTTAGGACATACATTTATAAGAAGTTTTTTACTTATTTTAATCTGAGGAATATGCTGCCGAAGCTTCCGGAATACAGTTCGGTCCACCCTGTATATTTCTTTCGGCCACATACCCGCTTTTACCCGACCCCTGAGAGCGACTCGAAAGTACAGCGTAACAGACTCTTAAGGGCTCAAACGCCACTTTATTCTTCAGTTTTTAGTTTTCTACAACGAATCAATCGCTCGGTCGGCTTACGTAAAAAATTGCTAGTTATCAAAATTATTGCCTATTAAATTATCTAACAAAAAGGTGTATATAAGAGCATGATTTGAATAATCCAGTGATGTGCAGTGAGGGCTCAAAATTCTCTAAACTTATTTACGTTGCTCAAATTCATGATTTCTAATGACATATAATGTACATACTTACATTTATTTTTAAGACAATAAAATATTAAAGCATTGTAAAATATTTATACAAGTAATTAATAGCTTTTTTCCAGTGGCGTGCAACAGGTACTTAAAAAATTAATGCATACCATGTTTCACCATATCAAAACAAGTTAATTGCCCTGGAGTAATAGTAATCCATTCAGATTTTTATTTAAATAATATTCTAAAATATTTTTAATGAACGTTGTATGAAAAAACATGTATATAATAATGACAAATAAAAAAAAACATTATTTATAGGAGTTGCAATGGATAACTCACCCGAAGGTATGGCGGCGTATTTCCTAGAGAAATTTATCACAGGTTCCAATTTCACCTACATAAACAAATTTAGTTCTAAAGATCTAAAAGAGAAATTTAGTTTTACTGGTCTCATCGATAATCTTATGCTCTATTGGGTCACTCAAACAGCCTCATCATCTTTTAGAATGTACTTCGAATCATTTGAGGATGGCTTTTGGACTGACAGTATAGCTTTAATGAGGTAGGTACAGTATAATAAAACGAACACAATAGCTCACTAAACAAGTTACTATAAGTACTACATATTTTAATGATAATAAAGTGTCGACATATTCACCAGGGTCGTGCATATGGGTGATCACTAGGATATTTAAAAAAAAACATGTTCGTCACTGACTTTTTTTTTATCTTGTTAGCAAAATTAGGTGACTGATTAACGCCGATTATAAGCTGTCTCTATTTTTGGGTCTCCTTGATGATAAATGCAATTTTATTAATTTGCCTTAATCCAAGTCTGATAGCAGTCTTTAAAAAAATCTGATGTCATTAACTGGCCAAAGTATTAAATAAGTTGTTAACTGACTTTTAGATTCTAAAAATATGAAAAAACTCCTTATAAACACAAGTGCGGAAATGTATAGCTTTAAAGTTACAGGACGTTAAAACTTTAAAAAGTAGGCTTTTTGTAATTAAACCTTCATTAAATTATTAAATAATTAATAATCTTAAATACCATTATTTATTTCATGAATTTGCTGTAGATAGCACTGAAGACACACAAACACACACACATATCTGTGTTGTATATTTTAATAATATTTAATAACAAAATATATTAAAAAAATTATTTATTAATTTTATTTTCATTTTAATTGTATTAATTGTGATTAATAAAATAGCGTTAATCTTATCAAGGAGATCGAAATTGACAAAATATCAAGATACAACTATTAATCGGCAATAAACAGCCTACACAGTTTTGTTAACAAGAAAAAAAAGTTAATTGCGCACATGTTTTTTTATAAACTTATTCCAGTGATATAACCCATGTGCACGTCCCTGAAAACAGGTCGACACTTATAGTTTCTTTTATCCCTAAAATATAGAATAATTTACTGGTTTCGTTTTACAATGAGTCAAAAAATGACTATTAGTTATTAAAATAAGTCAAATTAACGTATCCTAATTAATTTTGACAAGTAGTAAATAAATGGTAAAATAAAAACAATAATTCACCACAGTACACCAAAACAATTTACTTTTGCAATGGGCCCGCGTTTCGCTAAACCATGTTAGCATCATTATCAGCTGATGATGCTAACATGGAAAGCTTTATTTTATTAATCGTATTTGGTATATCCTTTCCGCCAAATGCATTTTCACTTTGTCAAATTCGCGAGATATCATCTTATATTTGACGAGCTGTACAGTATGTCCCCGGATTGTCTATTACAAGAGGAAAAACTTTTTTATTATTGACATTTTGAGAAAAATGCATTCTTCATAAACTTTTTTGCTTGTTGGTTAATCCCGTTTATACGTTTCCAAATTTCCATACCGTTTTAGAGAAAATTCAGAAAATCATGAAAATATGGTAGAATTTTTAAAAATCAGAAGTCCTAAAAATCAAAATGCGTTTCTATGGTTATATCATTTCGATTTCATTCATTGATAAATGGTTATTATTAAATTTGAATAACTTCATATACTTTGCTGTTGTTAAAGTGAAAAAATGGTTGTTTTAAAAATCAATAGGCGTTAGAATTTAGAATAAGTGGGAGGGGGGTTAATCTCTGCGACCTTAGAGATCTATTGTGTCCCCCTTTCTTGAGTTATAACTCATCATACAATCCCAGGACTTCCTACGGAGACCCGTGTCCTGCACAGTCGAGGAGCTACGACCCAGGCCGGGTAGACGAAACGGTAGCTTGTGTCGCCTGTTGGGTTTAGAGGCAGGAGGTAGGGTCCCGACCCTTGGAGGAGGTGGTAACTTGTATGCCACTTGCGGAGAATGGTCTCACGCAAGAGTCAGCCACCTCTCCTGTAGTTCTCTTGGGTTTGGCCCTTTGGAACTTGGAACTCATTGTTACTGTTCCCAGTGTTGCTAGGGGGTTTCCCCACAGCTTCACCGGTGATGTTTTTATTACTATTATTAATTATTACCAGATCTCATAGTGTTCCCATGAGTCGCTAGGGACAGTCGGTCCACTTTTACAAAGCCCCGCATGTAGAAGTAAGGGGTAAAATACAATGGGGTGCCCCCCGGTGCCCCAAGGTTGATGCTGTCCGTAGCTCCGCCCGGTATCGTTATATGTCTTGGTGCAATTCCCTGGCCACGACACTACAGTCAGGGACAAGACGATGAGTTAGATGCTTCTTAGACCAAGCCAAGTGCTAGGGGGGATTCCCCCAGCACCTGACCAGGAGCTTCCCCACCAACGACAAGGTCTTGCATCTCCTAGGGGAAGATCAATAGGCGTTTCTATGGTACTATAATTTAGATTTCATTCTTTGATAGATGCTTATTATATTAATTTTGATTAACGCCATACTTCTTGCTCTTGCTAAAATATCACTTTTTCCGATAACTACATCACCCTTACAGTAGCATTAAACTAAATAAATTTTGTACTTCTTTAACATTTTAAAACGGTAAAGAATATTACGTTAATTAAAATTATTTTAATAACAATCTTTCAAAGAATTAAGGTTGATTCTCACTATACCCTCCGTTTTCATTCCATATCCGTTCCGTATTTTTTATTGTATTGACGCTATACGTAGGCTTCCGTTCCGTATCAGTTCCATACTTTACAATTTATATAATTACGAAAGTTTTATTTTGAAAACGTGTATCTTTTGAAAAAGGTAATAGATTTAATTAAAAGGTGAAAGAATAAATAAATATCAGCAAAAATTTTAACAGAGCTGGTACAAATGTTATGTACGATTCCGATACGCTTCAGTCCGTCCGCACAAAAAAAATGTATGGAAGGAAAGGATATGGAACGGAAGAGAAACGGAACAGATAGTGTGCATTGTCCTATTCATTTACATAATATAATATTTTATGTAAGCGGAAGGGAAACGGAAGGGGGCTGATATGGATGGTATAGTGAGAATCAACCTTAAGAGAATTTATATTGCCATAGAAACGCGTTTTGATTTTTAGGACTTTTTTAATTTTAGGGAAAAATTTAACTAAAGGGAAATTAAAATAACTTTCGTTGCACATCGTACCAGCAAACTCCATAAGACGACGCATGGTGTCATTGATGACGTGCAACGGAAGTTGTTCCAATTTCCCTATATATTTTCATGTTTTTCTTAATTTTCTCTGAAACGGTATAGAAATTTGGAAAAATATAAACTAGATTAACGATTTTAAAACAAGCAAAAAATTTTATGAATAATGCATTTTTCTCAAAATGCCAATAATAAAAAAGTTTTTCCTTTTGTAAAGACAATCCGGGGCATACTGTATATCATTTTTTGTTTTTTTGACTTGAACATGGAACATGGAAGTATATGTTTCTGTAGAATTGTACTATCCTGTTATGTTGTCTGATTTATATCTATAATTTTTTATGTTTTTCAGTACTCCACTTAGTGTACGAACCGCTATATTTCGTAGCAAGTATGATCTCTACATGGCAGATGGAGTTCTCAATGAAATATTCACCAATAATATTCAGTTGAATGATTATGATGCCAGTCATTTTCCAGCTTTTGAAATTCCACAGACGTTCTCTGATGATCTGCTAAATGCCGTTGACAAATTTGAAGCTGAACAGATTTGATTGTTATTTTCATTTGAATTAGTTATTTTCATTTGAATTAATTAGAATAAGATAATAAAGTATATTGTTTTGTTTTATTTTTGTGTCACATTTAAATAAAGTTGCTTAGAAATGTCTGTTTATAACAGTGAAAAATAAAATCATTTGTTAGATTCAAGTAAAATAAATATTGCTTTCATAATTTCGAGACAGGTATTTATTTAAAAAAAAATGTGATTTATTTAAATGTTTTTAATGTATTTATTTTGTTTTATTAAAACGGTCATATAATAAATAACTAGTAACGAGTTGCTTTTTGCGCAAAAAAAAATTTGTATAGAATTTTGGTATTTTATTTTAGTTAAAAAATATAATTTCTTTATAATATAGCAACATAGGTAGTAGATTAAATTGACAAGAAAGAAAACCTAGAAAAAACCCAGGGTTTTCGAAATTTAAGGAAACATTTTTAGTAAAATAACTCTGTTATTTTGGACTTATTTGAAAAAGGGTAGAGAAAATATTTTTTTTTATCGAGATCTACCAGCCCTGTTATGTCTGCAATACTTCCTCACAGATGTAGAATGTAGAATGAGTGGCAGGGGAGGGTTCCCAACTAGCATTTATAGTGGCATTTACATAACTGCTACTATCAAAGCCACTAAAAAGTGGGCGGTGACCATCGGCGGTTACGTCGTGTATTCGTAGCTGCTAAGTAACTGCGACCAAAATGGGGAAAGATTTTGAGTAGCCGGGTAGTGTCTTGGGTAGTTTTTGCCACTAAAAGAGTTACTATGATGTGTTACTATAAAGTAGCCAACTGGTGAATGCGACTTATCCGTTACGAAGCTGCCTAGTCGCGGGTTCGTGACAGCCAAGTGTTAGCCACTGACATGTGAAACTTTCGTTAAACTGTTGAACTTTATTCGCAGCGACCTCTTCATGCAATTGCACATTTCATAAAAATAATGTCATGATGGAAAATAATTATGGAAGCCATTATTATTTTTTTGTTATTTGTTATTTACCGTGCGATTTTAAGGCCTTTTTTTAGGTAAATTTCAGAACGCAATCAACTTTACTGAATAAAATAGTGAGTTTATATAACAAAATTTTCGAGCGCCTCTCAAAATATTTCAATAGAAACTCATGTTTGTAATTAAAAAATAATAATAATTTGCTTGAAACCGGGGTCAAACTTTAAAATATTAGTCCACAGTCAGAAATAACAAAATAACTAAGGAAAAAAGCTTTAATCTGGGTATATTTAGCTTAAAAACGCATAATGTTTGAGCCATTTGGTTGTTCGTCTAAAAATTCATGAAAAAAATATGGCCGTTTAATCCGAAAAATACTTTATAGTTCCATATGCTTCCACAAAGTACCGGGAACAATAACATATTAGGCCAACCCTACCTGTTTGGACCTTTAAAATCTTCGGATTGATAAAGTGACAATTGTAGCCATCCAAAGGCGACTTTATAGAAACAATAACTTTTTTGGAACTACATGGTCAACGATTCTTTGGAACCATAAAGTGAGTTTTCCAAGAAAGTTCCCTGCGCCACCAAATTGCCGCTTAATTGGAGCGTTGCTACTCGTACATCGATCACGGTGGTGGCGACTATACATTGGTGCCACTATAACGTTCCGCCTTGTACTTTGAAGTTATTTTTTACTTATTGTGCATTTTATATTATTAGCGTTTCTATATTATTCAGAGCTACATGAGGTATAGTGTATTTTAACGCCCACTCTTTTAGCTCTTGTTTTATATTGTTGGTTCTCAAATTAGTTCTCCTCTGAGATTCAGTTTCAGATGAACTAACACTACACTCTTCTACAGAAACAGCTTCAAAAATGTCTCAGTCACTACCGAATTTATGATGTTCATCAGTAGGATTATAGAAAGATGTATTTTTTGTTTCTGATGTTGATGCATCGGCTCGCAGTGATTCCTTTTGTTTAATTCTTCGGTTGAAAGTACCTACCAGAATATCTAAATTTCTTTTTATTCACCTTTGGGATTTTACAAAATTTTAATAAATCTTAAAAGCAAGTAAAAGAAAATAATAAACAGAGCAGCACACGATGCAATCTGAGGCAACTACATTTATTAGGGTCTATTTACTTACGGTCACTATAAAGTAGCCGTTTTTGACCCCCGTGACTTTTTAGTGGCAATGGATGAGCGACGGCTACTTAATAGTGACCTAGGAAGGTAGCAGTAACAATTTTGCTACTTTCAATGCTACTATAAATTAGAAGTAACTAGGTGTCGTGCCTGCGACTACCCCGTAACTTAAATTGTTACTATAAAGTAACAAAAACTTAATGGAGGCATTATGGTAGCACTTGTTGGTAACCCCTAGTTTGAAAAGTTACTATAAAGTTTTAGGTCTTTTATGGTGTCATATTCGAAGATTCGGGTAGTTCCAGTCACTTCTTTAAATTATATATTTGCGACTTGCAATCGGGGTGTTTATTCTCCACTTTTATGGTAGGTAGGGACTAACCGGTCACTCTCGAAATATACTTCATAGTGACTATTCCTTATAGAGTAACATTTTAAGTGGCAGAGTGGGCCTAGGAACTATACTTTAGGGGCAGTGACATTTTAAAAAGGACTGGGAACTATATTTTGCTAGTTGGGTTAATCACTGCGATCTTAATTATTTAACATTAATTGAATAAATTTCAATTAATGTTAAATATTAGCCAAATTTAATATTTTTAGACGTTCTTCAAATTCCATATCGTTCCAAGAGTTTCTTTGGAGTTTTGTCAAGTATTTTTGTTCAATGTACATTTTATTTGCTTTTTTTTCATCTGTATAATAAAAAAGGACGATGGTTCAAGGTCAAAATTATTATAAATAATGTATAATAGAGAGATATCGCACGCTTCAGTTATTTTTATTGTTTTAACGATCTAGTCGAAAGTACATACCTATAAAGAACATGATATGTAATGTCTGTCCCACAAGAAGATGCATGACAGTAACAGCATTATCTGTCTTTATCTCACAGATAATTCGCATTTTCTGCCATTTTTTGAATGTATCTATCGAAATTTTTCTTGACTCGGCGGAAAGATTTTATATTATTAATTCAAACCTTAGTTTTAAGGTGACTTGCTTTTAAGGTGCGTCCACATTATTCGCGAGCGGTCCGAATAAAGGCATCAAACATGGAAAACATGCCAAGCAGTAGAAGCGAGATTAAAATGTTCGTTCATATCAAATTCCTTCTTTGACTCTTGGGTTCTGTGAGTTCTGTGGCGGTACATAAAACAAAACAACATACTAGCGCAAGCAACACAAACAGCACCACAAGCACGAGCGTGAGCAGTGTCACGAGCAATGTGAACCTTCCTTTAAAAAGTTGAAATGTTCTAAGTATTAAAGAAACTTAATATTTAGGACTGTTTAAGCGAAGCTTCTTTACCATCACTATACATTTTCAGTCAAAAAAGTTTCAATATAAATAGTTTCTCATAATGAAAAAATATACCTACTTAATGTCCCTGAACAGCTCGAAGACTATGGCCAGTGGTAGATAGCAAAAAGACAAAACAACTACTAGAGCACAAAAAGGACCTAGTACGCATAATTTTGTAGGTGTCGTCACTGGAAACTGTCCAATAGAGCTGTGCCACTGTCCAGCACTGGAATACCGACGCTTTAAAATTTTAGGGCAAGGAGGGACTAGAGGAAGCAGCAGAAGCCAACATCAGCGACATCGGGAACTTTGCAAAGAGCTGGAAGTGCTTTAACGCAAAGAAAGAATGAGAGGAAGGTTTGGTAAAACAATACAGGGGTATAGCAATGGGCCCAAGGCTTCCGAGTGAGGGATCAAATATGATCCCAAACCCCAGCAACCTAACCTAACCTAATGTCCCTGAAAATTTTGCTATACAGTGTGAGTCGTAAATAAGTGCAAATATTTTCAGGGTTAGTAGACCTCGACAAAAGAAACATATATGTTCTCTTTGCCGTTTTTCAAATAAGTCCAAAATAACCGAGTTATTTTAATTTGAAAATTTCCAAAAAAATCATTTTTTACTTTAATTTTGAGAACCACTTCTTTTTTAGGGAGTATCTTTTCTGGATTTTTTTTGGAAATTTAATCCACTACCTATGTTGCCATATTATCAAGGAATTATGTTTTTTAACTAAAAACTAAAAAAAATCCAAAATTTGTTTCCAAAATCGTGTTTCTGGGGTCGAAATATACAGTACCCGTAAAAATATTTGCATTTATTTAAGACTCACCCTGTATAAGTACATATTATGAATTTTATTAAAGTCAACAAAATAAATAAGCTATTTGTATCTCTTGAAAATTATAAAAAATGTGATTCTTATTATTTACTGCAATGTTATTTCCCGTAAATAATTTAATCTACTACTAGTACCACATCTCTCTATTAGAGGATGATAAGGATGGATAAAAATATACCTGTGATTATACGCACTAGAACTCTACGCTATTGATTCTCACGTCTCACGTCTACGTACTTATGTTTGCCTATGTTTTAAATGTGTATTTTAGCTAAATCATGGCGGTTTGTTCATTATGTTTGATTGTTTTCAGTGCCATTGTGGGTTTAATCGGTTTGGTAATTTACAAATTATTTTCTAAAAAACCTATACCACAACTTGATAGTACGCAGTATTGGGGACCTGGAGAACAACCTAAAGAAATTGATACATCTATTAGAAGCTTTAAAATAGAAGTATCTGATGAGGTAATATAGAACATAAAAATTAGGAAATATCTTTATTATTATAATAAATTAATCATACACTGACCGACACAATAAACAGGCACCTTAAAATTGTTTAGGCACCTACATTAAAGTTCAATATATTTTGTTATAGTGTGCCGATTTTGATGATTTGTATTTGTAAGCAATATACAAGTAAATTATTTGACTTCTTAGCCTCTTCTTAAATTATAAATTTAAGTCCTTATCTCTCTACGGGGTGTTTCAAAAAACATATGCTATCTCTCGTGTGGAGATTCCTCATGTAAAAATAAGATTTATTTGTCATATCAACACGGGTCTGATTCTGTTTCGTTTCGTAGCTACTAATGCCCTGTAGTCTAATTTTTTTTCGATTTATTGTAATTTTCTTCTCAATTCTTTTAGCGATGTAGAATGTAGAATGTTTAGGAGGGGAGTTAATCACCGCGACCTTATAGATCTATTGTGTGTTCCCCTTTCTTGAGTTATAACGAGTTATAACTCATCATACAGTCTCAGGGCTTTAAGAAAAGCCAGTATCTGAGACGGCTCCACAGAGGCCATAATTTTCTAAAAAAACTTGTGCGCCACTGACTTGTCAAAAAAATTGTTTTTAAGATAATTACAAAAGATATATTTTTTAAAAGTATCCTCAAAATAAAAACACTAAATCACCACAATACACCAAAACACTTTTACTTTTACACTGGACGCGCGTTTCGCTAACCATGTTAGCATCATCAGCAGATGATTATAAACTGAACTCAGTTTATTTAACTAAACTCAGTTTATAATCATCTGCTGATGATGCTAACATGGTTAGCGAAACGCGCGTCCAGTGTAAAAGTAAAAGTGTTTTGGTGTATTGTGGTGATTTAGTGTTTTTATTTTGCTGTTTAACACCAAAGGTTCCAACCCTCAACTGTAAAAGTATCCTGTAACTTGAAAACTATGCCTTTTTGCACCCATGTTTATATGAACTTTTTTTATATTTTTTTGATAGGGAATAAATTAATACACATTTAACCGTTTGGCCTGTTAATGACATTAAGATTTTTTAAAGATTGCTATTAGAATTGGATTAAGGCAAATTAATAAAATTGCGTTTATCGCATCAAGGAGGCTGAAATCGACAAAATATCAAGAGATCCTTTTTAATCGGCATTAAACTGTCTTCACAATTTTGCTAATGAGAGAAAAAAATCAGTTTGTGGCACACATGTTTTTTTTTTAGAAAAATATTTCAGTAATAACCCATATGCACGTCACTGGTGTATCTGTTGACAATTTTTTAGTATTAAAATATGTCACACTTCTATTAACTTTTATCCTCAAAATTTCATTCGAATCGCTAAAAGCGCTTAGAAGAAAATTATAGTAAATCGAAAAAAAAGAAAAACTCTAATCCCCTTTAGTAACGAAACAAAGCAGAATCGAACTATGTTGATATAAAAAATTAATATTTTTTTTCACATGAGGAATCCCCCCACGAGAGATGGCACATGTTTTTTGAAACACCCTGTATAATAGACAGATATACACCCCCTGTATAATAGACAGATACGAGGAAAAACAAAATGTAGGCAAAAGTTTGAAATACACTGTAGAATGGTATAAGAAAATAAATAATTTAAAAATTACATCGTCATCATGATGCATCATTTCTCGATAGTCTGATTTTTAATTCATCTTGCAATAGCTTTTGAATTAGACAGTAACGATTTATAGCAATTTCAACATTAAACGCATAAACACCTTCGCAATTTTTGTAATATCACTGCCATTGGAAAAGTCATATACAGGGTGGTCCGAATTGTATTCCTGAAACTTCGGCAGCATATTGTGCAGATAAAAATAAGTAAAATAGTTCGCATAAATGTATGTCCTAAAATGCTTAGTTTCAGAGATATTCGATTTTTTCTAAATAATTTCTGAAGTAAAGTCAATATTTCGATGAAAATTGGTATCTGGGACTTTTTTGACATGAGAAATTACACCACCTACATATGTTTTAACTATTTTACAGCGTAATAACTTTTTGTCCGTACCTGTATAAATCTACTGAACGAAAAAATATACAGGGTGGCGCCTCTCATATGCCGCGGAGGCTCCAAGGAGAACGACAGTTTGTATTGAAATGAAATTTTGTTAGCGTATGTAGGTTAATTCAGAGCACTTTTTAAAAATATAGAGAGTTCTACAGGGTGTCCCCAAAAAAAGTTACATATCAAAGTTGTGTTTTTTGTAATGGAACTGATTCTGGGAGAAAAATAAAGGTGAGTTTTATAAGGGAAGTATATTACTAAAATGTAAGGTTTTTGACATATTTAAGATTTTCTAGAAATAAATAACAATTTTTAAATTACAATAAAAGCTACCTAAATTGGAATTTACCCAGTATAGCCTAATATGTAGTTAAATTAACTATTGTACTTTAAATCAAATTAAAACTTGATCCGAAAAGTTTTACAGGGTGAGACCAAATTAATATTGAAGATTGGTCACCTTTAAAAGCATGTTACTCTCTTATTTTAAACGGAACACCCAGTATATTATTCCGATATTCAATGGGGAATTCATGTCTCTTCAAAATACTATTAAGGTTGCCTACCCCTCAAATGAAGATTTTCCTAGATATTTTCATTTACATGATTTGATCTGAGTAGATCTTTATTATTTGATAAAATCTAGGTGGCTGTGATATGTCTAACGTTATTTCAACATAGCTGTCTAATTATTCCAACTTTAACAACTATTTCTCATTTTGTGTCAGTTAAAACACAAAAAAAAATCTCAAAAATTTGCCGAAAATGCAAACTTATCTTACATCAGAGAGAATTGATTTGATTCTATTAGTTGGTGAATGCAGTGTGCATTCACCAACAATTAATAGAATACTTAAATGCTCCTGATTTTATCTAGTCTGTTTTTTTTTACGGGGATATGTTAAAGATATTGTTTACAAAACTCGACCAACTAGTGTCGACAACATAAGAGAAATTATTATAGCTGCTTTTCGAGGTAGAACTCCACAATTTGCCTTTTGAAATCAAAAGATCCTTTTGAAAACACAATCACTTTATGCAGTTAACAGGAAAGGAAGCATTTTGAGCATTTGATTTCATCTAGCTAATTTTTGTTGCATAATTATAGGTTTATATCCAGTTCTAATTCTGTAATAATTAAAATATGTTTTAAACGTGTATCTTGTTATTACCCTTGGAGTATTTTACGCCACAATCTTTATGGATCACACAGCCACCTAGATTTGTTCAAATAATAAAGATTTACTGACGCAAAATCATAAAAATTAGATTATCTGGGAAAATCTTTGTCTGAGGGGTAGGCAACATTAATAATATTTTAAAGATATAGAAATTCCCCATTAAAGGCCTGAAAAATATACTCGGTGTTCTATTTAAAATAAAGGAGTAACTTGCTTTTAGAAGTGGCTAATGTTCCATATTAAATTTTGTTTCACCCTGTATAACTTTTCGGGTCAAATTTTAGTTTGGTTTAATATACAATGGTTAGTGTAATTCAATATCAGACTATAAAAGGTCAACTAAAATTTAGGTAGCTGTTATCGAAATTTAAAATTTACTCCTCATTTTAGCAAAATGTGAAATATGTCAAAATCCTTAGATTTTAGGTATATGTTTCTTTAATAAAACTCACCTTTATTTTTTTCCTAGAATCCGAAAATCAATTAATATATAGGGTGTTCCATTAGAAAAAACACAACTTTGATGTGTAACTTTTTTTGGGGACACCCTGTATAATTCTATATATTTTTAAAAAATGCTTTCAGTTAACCTACATATGCTGCCAAAATTTCAATTCGATATAAACTACCGTTCTCCTTGGAGCTTCCGCAGCGTATGATAGGCGCCACCCTGTACATCTCTGTGACTTTTTACGTAAAAAATATCTGTTTGTAAAAATTGCTCCGAGCAACCGTTCTTAAGATATTTAGAATGGAAATAGTCAATACATGTCATTATTGACGAAAAATAAACAGGTTGAGTAGATAGTTATTTCACTGAAATAATAAATTTGGGAAATTTTTATTTTTTTAAATTAATCATAATTTTTATCTGCAAAAATGATGATGAAACAGTTTCTGTTGAACTTTTGGCACAAAAACATTGCATATTTATGATTTCAGTCTAATAACTATTTTGTCAACATTTTTAATTTATGTCAATGATGACAGGTATTGATAATTTCGATTCCAAATATCTCGAAAACCATTAGTAGCGATTTTTATCAAGAGATCTTTTTCACGTCAAAAACGTCGTAAATGTATATTTTTTTACTCAGTAGTTTTATACAGGTACGGCCAAAAATGTATTACTCTTCAAACCAGTTAAAAATATGTAGGTGGCGCACTTTACTAGTAGGAGTCATATTGACATCATCATATTGTACATAATTAAAGACATAATCGTAATCATATTGACATGTCAAAAAACTCCAAGACACCAATTTTCATTCAAATATTGACGTTACTTGAAATTAATTGGAAAAAATCGAAATAAAAATGAAACTTCTACACCCTGTATCTCCCAAACTAAGCATTTCAGGGCATACATTTATACAAACTTTTTTACTTATTTTTATCTGCAGAATATGCTGCCGAAGTTTCCGGAATACAGTTCGGACCACCCTGTATAATTATTTGTTAGTAGAGATAGTTTTAAGAACAGAAGTTGATCTCTACCATGTTAAAGTAAAGCAATACAGCTTCTGGGCTTAAAACCATCTCTGCAAGAGTAATTATGTAACACCAAATAATATTAATAAGACTTTTCAATGACAGCGATATTACAAAATCAAAGGCAATATTTCACTGATTTGATTTGTAGTAAGGCATGTTTTTAAAAAAAAAGACAAGGCATGTTTTTAAAAAATATATAACAGCATAGTTAAAAGCATCATTAGTTATTGTAGTGAAGTATGGCCTTTGAAAGAAAAAAACCTTAAGTCACTCAAAGCTA